CTAATCAGCACATCTCCCAATCAATAGGAATCGAATGTTTTTTAAAACATTCAAATCGGTTGATCCGTGCGCCCGAAAACGTGACAGGAAATTTGTATCCATACATACATACATACACACAAACATCCATTTTTTCTGAGGTATGCCAAAATGTTCAAAAACCTTCAAAACGTCTAAAAATGTAAAAAAATTTAATTTCGATTTTTGGCCCATTACAATAACTTACCCTACGGGAAGTTAACAAGTATATAAAAATTAATATAAAATAATAGGTCGGTGAGCTGACAACTTGTGAGTTAATCACCAACTCGATTCAGAAAAGAATAGGGTGAAAGATTTACCATTTGCCATTTCACATCGCAGTGCTCGATTTTGGCTTTTTTTCAACGCAAACAAGTGAAAATGGACATCGTTACTGCTCAATATTAGGACTTTTAGAGAGCAGGCTAGAACTTGCGACTCTGACAAATTAATATAATGTAATAAAGAACAGGATATAGAATAAAAATCATATAAGTAGCTAAGTGCTAGATTGGCGAGGTCAATGAAATAAATTAATTTAATAGTAATAGTAAGCAAAGTTTATTAATCCAGTTAAATTTTGTTCACTTTTTTATCATCACCCTAAAATTTTTGTATAAGTTGATATTACCCCATGGCAAAAAGCCAAAAAAGTGAAATCGCCTCTTTTGTACATTTCTTGTGTTATAGCCGTAATGATGATTTTGGAAAGAAAATAATTACTAAAAATTTAATTCAAATAAAATTATTATTTAATTTGAATTTCATTAAAACTGGCCTAGTGTACGGACTACAATAAATATTTATAACTTTATATAAAAATACTTTAGGTAAATATAAAATAAACTTTAGATAAAAATTTATACTTTTTATCCCCAAAAATTTAATTTTTACTCTACTAAATAATATAATATTACATAAAACAATTTGAGCAAGAAATGGGATATAATATAACGAAAACTTATATACGCTAAATTTTTAATAGTTCGATAAGTCAAAACAAAGACATAAATCTTAATTAAGATAGCCTCTTAGCTAGATTTCTTCATTAAATATTATGTTCATTTTTAATTTTTTTTACTATTACTGTGTTAAATTAATGAAAATTCTATCACAACACGTATTTTTGTTCAAGATTCAAGAAAAGAAAATTTTCAGGTATATAAGAAATCCTGTCTGCATTACTAATATAAAAAGTTATTATTCTATCTCCGCATAAAGGTCTGAGAGGGCTTTCTAATCAATAAAAATACATAATTCGGTACACGTTTCCAGAATCATAATTATTTCATTATGACGTAGGGAAAAGCTGACGTTGCAGGCGCTCATGAATATTTTTGTGTCTGCAAAACTTCATGTATTATAACCAGTTTTTTTTTGCTTTAACTGACTAACTTTGACCTGTTTTATCTGAAAATGGTATGAATTATTCACGCTTGCGAACTTATTAATTTGTTATTTGAAAAAGATCTCTAAAATATTAATCCATTCATACATTATACTTGGAAAAGAATCATCTATGGATAGATTTATAATGTTCACTTCTGGAAAATAATATAAATTATTTCTGGAAAATAATATAATATTATATCTTACGTTTTCCTCATGAATTGATTTATTTGTAATTTGGAAAAGTATTATTATTTACATCTTACGTAATCAAGAGATTGTGATATGTTTATTTAGATAATCAATCAGATTAATTTATAAAAAATAATGTAATACTTTTTATTGGAAATTAAGTAGTTATATCTTTATTATAAGCTGTTTTTATATTAACTTGTATAGAGATAAAGGTCCAATCATTGGCAAATAATATGACAGTCAGAGAAAGAAATTCATATAAACTTTATGAGATTCGTACTTATAAGAAAATTATCTTTTCAAGCACTTTGCTCACTTCAACCAAAGACTATGTGGACTCTTAGAAAGAACTCTTAGAAAGAATATGTGTATATAAGATATTATATAATAAATTGTATATATACATACTACCTTAAACATTTTAAAATATAGGTTAAAATAAAACACGCAAATGATACTTACTTAGAGAATGAATTTATTTTAATCATTATAAAACGAATAATCATAAGTTCTTTAGAAGAAAGAGCAATAAAACGTATTTAATTTTCGAAATGAAATTGTCTTATTCACCTCAGGAACTAGATTTGCAAACGTAATGTAGGTTAATGTAATTAATACCGTGTTGAGATTGTGATTTCATTAATCTTGTGAAGTTTATGTACAGAAATTACATTCCTTGCTAATTTCGCTAATGAGTAATTTCGCCTCCTGCTGGCTAAACACTTGGGGAGAAGATAATACATTTGTAAGCTTTTAGCCACAAAGGTATTAAATTAATCATAATGATGAATTTGACAATGAAGAACAATGTCTTTTTTAAGTCCACTTATTATTTATTTTAGTAAAAAAAATATTTTTTGATATATGTGTTTTTGTTATCAATAAAATGCAAAATAACGTTTTATTTTCAAATAGAAATATATATATATGCAGTATAACAACATCGTGTCAATAGTTTTTATTTTATTTAACATGACTGTAACATAATTATATTTTAAAACTCGTAATCTACTTGACGGTATATAAAACTATTTATTGAATTTTAAATTTAAAATAAATTGAATTTGAATAAATACAATCGTAAATCGAACTTAAGATTCTATATTTTGATAGTCAAATCAAAATTGCTGTAGTAATGTTATTACGGTTTAAATAATAGACATTTCAATTGAACATTTGATTGATTTTACAATTATTACAAAGGTTTTTCAATATTCAGCCTTACTATAGAAATTATATTTTATATAAGTTATTTGTAGGATTTTCTATATTCATATATAGGAAAACTATCTATAACAGGAGTAACTAGTTATCTTGATTAATGTAAAACATTCATACACTTTCACGCAATCATGATAAGGTGAAAATTGTGTTAGAGGAGACACTATATCTTATATATCTAAAAGAATTACTTAGTATAATAAATAACCATAAGTATTATTGTCTTTTTTTTTGTCGTTACTACTTATAGTCATCTGCCGGAGCAATTGCTCCCAAACTCGAGGTAAATTGTAACACTGGACTTTTTCTAAAATAATTGTGAAATAAGAAACAATAGTTATGGAAGTATGAGTATTGGATTCGGTAGAAAAATAGTTATATAATCTATTCCTCTTTATTTAATAGAAATATAATCAGCAAATTTCAAGATATATTAATTTAAAAAAAATATTGCAACAAGTCGTTATCTCCCATATACCTCAATTATATTATTATATATTAAAGAATTCAATAGTCAAATTACTGTAATAATTTAACGAATATACTCATTATCGTATCCTAGAAGTTTGAATAATAATAATTTCAAATTGAATATTTGACTAATTACATGATTATTAAAAAGTATCTTAAAACTAGATTCAATTTTAAATTATTTCTTGTGATAATCATGTGTGGCATTATCAATCTTCTAACGATATTAAATGGTACATCTAGAGTACTTTTCCTTTGCCTCTCCATTCTGGTAGCCTTATCGCAAATGGAATTTTTATTTCGCATTTTAACTTTATCCTAATATATCCCTAGCGGCTTTTCTATCTTAACCGATACAAATCGTACGATTAATTAAATGTCTACGCAGAAGTCTCGGCTTTGATTTATATCCCGCGCGTGGCGCGTTACTGACATCGTTCATTGTCTTTGGACGACGACGCCACTGAAATTTGTATCTATACAGTCCTTTGCCTTTGTTCTATGCTTTTCCTATTCCACTTCTGAGATATCTCATCGGATTTGTGGGATAAATCGTTCCGTTCCGCTTAATCCTAGATTATGTTTTTAGAGCCAGTATCGGGTTGTACTTTTAATGGGCGAATAATTTTCCTTATTGTTTTTAAGTAGAATCAAGAAATTGAAGCAAAAACCCAAGGCAACATGAATGGACAGAAGCGTGGTGGTTTTGATACTATGCTATCACACTTTTTCAAATTAAAAGATAATTTCAATTTATTGCTAAACGCCATATGTCGTTAATCGTCATAACTTCTGCAACAAATCATTTTATGATATATTCAATAAATCGCAATTTAACATATGCTACGATATTAGATATTGATATGCCATAATTTATACGACAGATATAATGTCAGTATGTTGGCGTATACGATAAAAAGTTATATCAAATATAACGCTATATTAGAAACTATAAATTTTGCTACTAGAGAAAATGTAATATCATTTGTTGGGATTTTATGGAATAGAAAATAAATAGAACCAGTAACGACAGTTACTGTGGTGTCATATGTACACCGATATATTAAATGCCGAAATAGACATTTCCTTTTCTATTTCATTTTTTGTTTTGCAGTTTTTTTATATTAATTTATTTTTGTTGTCATATTCTTGTGTATTACTGATACATAGTTTTTACGGTTATAATATAGTATAACAATAGATAAAATTAATAAAATATGTTTTCATATTAAATTCAGAGAAATAATAATATAAAGTAATATTAAATGAAAAATTATTCTAAACTACAAAACCTAATATAATTGAATAAAATAATTGAATATTACCGCAGTGTATAATTTTTTTTTAACTTTAAGCGTTGTTAGAACGGAAAAACAGTAATTTATATTTAGGCCTCAGTGCAGCCCAAAACCAAAAAGAAAATACGCACCTGGCAACACGTAATTTGAGTGGCATTTTATAGAACTAATAGAGCCATCTACCAGGAACGTAGAGAACTATTATTATTCTCATTTTCAAACACTATTTTAAATTAGTTTTAAATAACACCAAGCAAAATAAAGTATTTATTTAGGTTTTATATTAATAATTGACTAAATATACATATTGGTGTAAAATTTCTTATATATTTTGATGTATTGTTTGCAACGCAATTTAATTATTGATCTGCGGCACTCGAGTCGCTTTGTTACGGGACGCCATCTTGCGCGCCCGATATGCGCGCGCCATTATTATTGTTTAGCGTGTTTACCAGATCTATGTAATGTCCGAAATGAAGTGAGTAATGCGTACATAATTTCATAAGTGTCTAAAAAGTGTTGATAACTGAAGTAAATACATGTATTTATAACCCCTCAATATGGATAACTACAATAATATAATAAACCAGCAATATGGAAACATTGTATACAGCAATAACATGATGCAAACAAATATGCCGATGCAACAGAATCCGTCGGAGAATATACAACACATACAAAATGATACAAGGTTGCCCCCGAATCTAATGGACGCTCGAGGTATGCAAATTGATAATACTAATTTGACAAGTGACAGTAGTATGAGAATTGCAGATAACAGAGTTCAAAATGCATATATACCCAGCGGCGGCAATACTGGTTATAATACAAATTATGTTGCGAATATGTCAACAAACGCCAATGATATGCATATGAATATACCCGACCCAAAGATTCATGAAAGCAATATCCATCCATATGAAGATAAATATAAACAACTGGCTTCTGAGCCTATTATGACACCACAAGTTTATGAGCCTGTAATGCAACCAGAATCCAATACTGATGTACCTCCAGAGCCTACAGTAACTGACATAAATGAAGATTTTAAATCGAACGAAGAAAAACCTGAAGATAAAGTTGATGTGGCAAATGAGGCAGACGAGGCAGATGAAACTCTTCCTGAAGTTGAGAAAAAGGACGATGAAAGAGAGATTGACGAGGAAAAATCACTTGAAGAAGATAAGGATTTATCATCTTCAAACGCTGATGTTGAAATGAATATTAATGTTGATGAAAAAAAGAAGGATTTGGAGAATAATGATGAAAAAGAAGAAACATTGGAGAAAAATGTTGCTAGTGATGAAGTAAAAACTGATGATATACCATCTGAAATACCTGCAGAAACAGATGAATTATTACATAAAAAAGATGAAATATCAGAATCTGATACCAAATCTGTCGCTGATATTAAACCTATTGAAGAAGACTACAACACAACATGTCGAGTATGTCTAAAGACCGGTCTGAGCGATCTTATCGACATGTGTGATCAAGATGGTGTGCTAAAGATCTTAGATAAAATTATGCTATGTGCTTCAGTACAAATCACCAAAAATGATGGGTTACCTTGTCACATATGTAATTCTTGTGTAAATAAATTACACATTGCTTATGATTTTAAAATCACTTGTGAGTCTTCAGATGTTGAGTTAAGAAAAAGACTCAACATAGCTGTTCCGAAAACTGTAGTGAAGACTGAGTTTGTTCTGATTGAATGTGATGACCAAGATTATGATCTTGAGGTAAGCGATAGTGAGAAGCCAAGAGCAAAGCGGAGATATAAAGAAGAAAGCGATATTGATTTTTTGAGTGATTCTCAAGAGGATAGTGGGAGTGATTCATCATATGGAGTAAACAAACCAAAGTCGAAAAGAAAATCCAAGAGAAGGACACGATCGGTATGTATTATGTAATCATGTTTCAGTTATGTTCAAATTGTTTTGGAGTATTTGAATTCAAATTTCGTTTACTCAGTGATATTACTATATTTTGTAATCATATCACTTATTATATTGTTAGCCATAGGAAAACGTCTTTAGGTCAAGTTTCTTTTGTTTCTTTTAGGTTTATTTTATCGCTTGTTATATTTTTATATGTATATTTGTAATTTTAGGCTTCAAAGCGTCAATTGCCCAAACGTGAGAGACGTTCAAAAGAATGGAAAGATTCTCCTATTACATCCACCCCAGAGGTGTCCCGTAAACGTACAAAATATGTCGTTGATCCTGATGATGATAAACCTTTGATAACTATCAAGAAAGTTAAACAACCTGAAGATAAAGCTTCAAAGCACGCTTGCACTATTTGCAATAAGACATTTCCCTATCTCAGTTTCTTGAAACAACATATGTTAACACACCAGGATAAAGACCCAATAATTAAATGTAAATACTGCACAGCTAAATTTACTACACAGGAAGAATATAAGCAACATACATTAGACTATCATGCTGAAGATATGGATGAGGATTATCCTATATTACCAAGGAAAAGTTATAAAAAGTCTATAAGCAAAACAGATTCTGGTGCTGAAGAGGAAAAGGAGAAAGAGCGCACTCCACGAGAGCGAAATAAACATCACAAATGCCCATATTGTGAAGTAGTATGCAAATCAGCTATGAAGCTTAAAGAACATAAACGGACACATGTTGGAGAAAAACCTTTTGTTTGCCACATTTGTCAAAAACCATTCAAACAAACTGTGTCCTTGGAGTCTCATATCAGGAGGCATGCTGAAGATAAGTCTTTGCAATGTGATCATTGCCAAAAAATTTGTGCTTCAAAGTCTGATCTCAATAGGCACATTAAAACAGATCATAGCGATGTAAAACATTTTGAATGCGCAATTTGCAATAAAGAATTTCCTACCAAACTAAAGCTTGACAAACATGTGTTGAAACATGAAAAGGAAGATGAAGAATTATCTCAGACATCAAAGGAAGGTAAAGAAAAGAAAATACCTTCTACAAAGGATTTATTCAAAAGCATAGCACCTATCACTTCTACATACTGGTCTGATTCATATTCAGATTAAAAATTATTTTCATTTACTTGGTGAATCACCACTGACTATTGGAAATAAATAGTGATTCAATTATTCATGTGATTTACACAATTAAAAAATGAGTTTAACAAAATATTTTTACTTTATTTGTGAGTTGTAGATTGATTTTAAATTATTTTAACAAATTTGAGTCTGCACGCTTTTATATTTATGTATTTGGCAATATAATAAATTTAAATATGATATCTTATATATTTATAAAACATTAAAAATATTCTTTCAAATCTTATTAGAAATCTATGTACAAACTAAATCAATCAGAACTTATTTGAAAGTTGTGCATCACATCTTTATTGTTTACATTGAGAACTTATAAACAATTTGTTAAGTCCTGATACAAATTTTATATGGAGATATAATATTTATTGGATGTTATATTTATTTTGGTTAACTTGAAGCTACACGTGAGTTTGCACTTAAAATATTGACAAATGTTTGATCATTTTGTCAATTTAAGTAAAAAAAAAAAGGTGAATTCCTCGAGTCACTGCTTAAAACATTTTGAAAGAGCATTTTACAGTTGTATATGCAAATATAATTTTTCTGTACAAAATTTGTATGAAATGACTTTGTAGACAAATCCTTCATAAGTTCTCTTTCTATTTATGGAATGCACATATATTTTGTACTTTTATTAATTCTATAAATCTAAAACAAAATTGGCTAAAAATAATAATGTTAATATTTGTGTCAGAGATGCTTCCGGTCATTTTTCATAATATCATAATGTATGTATGCTATAAAATAAGATATTTAGTAGATCTATATTCTCTAGAAAGCACATAGATTACTAAACAGAAAATTCTAGTTTTTAAAATAATTAATGATTGATAAATAAATAAATTATATTTAATATTTAATAGAATATATCGGCGCTAACCTGATAACGAGTCCTAACTATGTAACATGGATGTAAAAATATCAAAAATTATATTATTCCAAATTAAATTACACTTTATATACTAATTAATGAAATTAATTTTATATTTAAAATAAATTGTAAATATATCATGTCTACAACTTTAGTGTATAGAAATATGAATTTTATTTCACCTAGTAGATTTTAAGCGGAAGGACAAATTATGATAAATCATTAAAAGTATATATATATATAAGAAATAAGTATGATAGATAAGTTAAATGTTATGATTTTATTAATTTCTAGACTTCTAAATAATCATAATTTAAAGTGTTTTGCGTTTTATATCAAGTGTTTGCATAAAGATCATTCAAAAGTAAGTGGATTCTCATATAAGTGGCACAAGTCTTATTAAAAAAAAAAAAGATTATTTGCAATTTTTGTTTATTTTTGACTATGTAATAAATTGTTGTTTGTATCTAATACATTGTAATTAACAATTTATTGTCCTAATTTGTCTCATTAGTATGGCTTTGACTCTTGTAACAATGATCTCATTGAATTTGTTAATAACCCAGTGTTGCTTAATTTTGTTGTTGTTTTGCCATTTGATTTAAATGAATTTAATTATGGCAACATCATTTAGTACAAGTCATTGTTAGATCTTATTTGTGATTTTCTAATTGAATTTTTGAAATTCTTCAATTTATTTCAAGAATATTATAATTTATACATAATATTACTTCGTCAAGTACTCTTGGAATAGTTCATCTTTTAATTGCTTGATGCCTTAATGCCTTTGTGTGAATCATGTCGCTTGATGTGTTATTGTAAATTTGGAACTTGTATTTTTTCAATTTTAATTTAAAAGTTTTATTTGCCACATCAAAGAAAATTTTAATAGTCATAATGTTTAGACGTCGCATGTATTGTTCCAAAAATCATTCTAACAATTATTATAAAGAGTCAATATTCTGTTGGCCATACCTATGTATCTATAGAATAAAGAATATGAACCTACATTAATTTGTTTTGATTATTTTTTATATTAGAAGCGGTAAGAAATTTTAATCGGCTTTTTTTTTATTTCAATTTTTAAAAGACTGATGGGGCTTCCGGTGCGTTCAAGTTCTTCTGATTTTTTCCTTTCATTATTAGCTATTGATGATCTAAAGTCATCAACAGTTATGTATAACCATTAAATTATTTTTAAGATTTTTAATTACTGAAAAATCTACTCCTGAGGGCTAACAAACAAATTTTTATACGAGAACCCGCGAGTGCACTGCATTCCATATTATTTGATGCTCTCATATTCTTGTATGTATATATTATTATGATTTTTGAATATTAACTTTTTCGATAAATACAAGTTATTAGACATCTCGCATCATTAAACAAAATGATCACAGCCATAATCATTACGTGCTGCTTATAAAGGATTCGCATAACGATGCAAAGCAGTAATAAAGACTTCTTATTTGAATCCATTGCCCATCTCATCGAGTTTAATAGATGCATTGTATGTAAATCAAGATGTTCTATGGAAAACTTAATGGTTAAATTGCTCCCGGGATTGTACGACTAAATAATATTCCCTTCTGAATGTGTAAACAGAGTCGATTTCATGGGCATATTTGGATTTTTAATAAAAAATGATCTGTGAGATTAAAATTATTGGTAATAATTTTTTCTGTGATCGATAAAATAAAATGGTATTATTATAAGAAAATAGGCATCGAAACTCTTTGCTGTAAAAATAATGATTAAGGTTTAAGATTATTATATGATTTATGGGGCATCTTAACGTAAAATCGTTCCACAACATTAGTTAACATAAATCATAATTCTTATTACAATAATCTTTTTGTAATAAAAAGCTCAAATCACGATTTTTTGGTAATGCAATTTAAATAATAACTAGGTGTAGATGGCATTTTAATATTTTTATAATATTATAATATTATATATATGTATAATTATTACATATATGTCTTCATGAACACAGGGCTATTTATTTCCACAAAAACTCAGGATATATACACAGTGCATGTTTTAAAACTGCGATTCGTTTTCCCAAATATTAATGAATTTGTATAAATAATCTACGAAATTTCATCATATTACATTATAAAATTATCTTCATACAAAGTTTTATTTAAATTAAATTAAAACTTTGATGAAAATTTTTGCAATTTTTTGCTAATTCGATAGAGCTCATTGAGTTTCACACAATTGCTTTTAAAATTTCCAAATTGGTGCAGCAGTTTTTGAGAAATCTTCATCGAAGGTCAAATTCCAGAATAACTTGAAAATATAAAATTAGCAGATGGAATTTTCTGGAGAACTTTTCTTTTCGGGAAGTTAATAAATTAATATCTTTTCTAAATATGAATAAGTACCAATATTAATTTCATCTCTTTATTTTGCATCATTTATAGTTCTGGAGAGTTGAGCACTTATGATCATCGTTTAAACATTTTAATGAAATATGAAGTTATATATAATGAAGTTATTTATATTCATGATACGTTTATAGAAGCTACGATTGCACTTAATTTCGAACAACACAAATCCAATAATCCGATTTCTAATTAGCGCTTTAAGCACGTAAAGCGATTATTCTTATGTAAAATAGGCGCCGATATAATAATGATGTTACGCAATTAATAATATTTTTTTGCTATTGAGATAAGGTTTTATGAGTATTATTTTTGAATTTATTTAGAATTGCAAAAATATAACATTTTGTTTGATTTAAATATATATTTTTATTAATTTATCTATGATTCAGTAAAAGACATAATCTAATAAAGGCGAAGACCGAATCATTTTCCCACTCTAAATGGGACATGCAGATAATATAATATAATAATAATAATCTTTGGCTTAATTTAGTCAAAACTTTAAAATCTTAAAATTGTTTTTCATTATGTTCTTCTTTTCTGCAAGAAATAATTAGTTAATTTATTTTGTATTTACGAAAGAAAATAATTTAGACATAATTTAAAGGTTGGAAAATTGTTCGCTCAAGTAAAAGATCCACAAGCTCTATGGACTTGTGGGCCATAGAGCTTGTGGATCTTTGAATTAAAATCTTTACATCTATTATACTGTTTTGTTTAGTATTTTATACTTTATGTATTGATTGGCTGAATGATTTCTATAATTATGTGAACAATAACAATTTAATACATCTCTGGATAATATTCTTCATTCCTTATCAAATTGCCTAAGTGACGAAAACTGTTGCAAATACAAATGAAATGTTTAGTAATATATTGCTTCCTACAAATCTATTCTAGTTTATATAAATTTATATATAAAAAGCTCTTTATATGATTTGATGAACTTCCAACAAGTATGTTGAGCATTATTTGGTTTTGTAAGTATTAAATTATGGTTAGAAGTATGTTAGTTAGTTTGTTTATTCTTGTTATACAAGGTGATATAAATGAATATTATCATAACACGTGAGAGATTTGGTTCATGGGACAAAAAGTGTATTTATTTGCAAAATAATTATTTAAGATTCCATTATTGTTCTACTGAAAGTTCGTGTAAATTAAAGTCAAGATTTATATTACGAGACAAACTTAATATTTGTAATTATTATTTGATATAATATTACTTTACAAACTTTATTTTAATAATCATATACCAAAACTAAGCACCTTAAACAATTCATCCTTAAACAATTTCTTATTATTTCCAAATTTATAGATTCAAACCAATAAATTCATGAAAGGTTAACATAATCACTTCAATTATATATATATATATATATATATATATATATATATATATATCAAGGCATGCGATTAGAATTCTATTTATCGACAACCAACCTTACATGTTCATTATATATCATCATAAATATGAAGATGATTGATGAAATCATATAGCAATCGACCTTTACAAAATTACATTAGCAATGTTATTTTTATATTTCTTTTACATTAATTATGCAATTTTATAGACTATAATAGTTTGCAGTATTTCTTAACTTAATTTAGCATCAATATAAATAAGTTGAGTTGAGAATGAAAAACATTTTCATCAGTTATCTGAAATCAAATTGTTTAAATTGAATTTGATCTTTTATGAGGCATACTTCAAAGTATAATCTTGAAATGTATTATTTTTCATATAAATTATAATAAAAATGAATATCCTTAATTCTTAATTACATAAACTATGTAATGAATTGTCGTATTTGCGTTGTTAATGTCACCTCAATGTTATCTTTTTCATAAGAACTTACTTTACCATTA